TTTAAGCTGATTATTACAAATACAAAACACATTACACCACTCCTACATGAATGTACGATAACAAATATATATTAATTGACGTTTCCATGAGCCTGCAAGATAGCAGTTTCACTTTCAATAAACATACCTTGATATCTCCAATTTTTTCTACAAGCCCTGGAATAGCATAACCAGCACTGCGAGAAGAAAATCCTTTGCCTTTTTCTGCTATTACACCACAAAGAGCGAGCTTTGCTTTGAGAACCTGGAATATGGCAATAAAGAAATCAAAAAAAGACTACACGTCTTACTCTAGTAGGTAAATTGTTGAAATGAATATAAGCCACAATCAAGATAGTCTCCTTTGCATCCATTTTCGTGTTGGGCTTCCTGTCCCTCCTTTAAAAAACATCAGATAGAAAGCCCAACACTAAAACGGATCTGAAGGAAGCCACAATCAAGACTGAATAGTAACATGGTTAGGATGGAGATTCATGAGCTGTTTGCATGAAATGGGGTAGACATCATGTACTGCAAACTCTTTTGTTGCAAGAAACATGCCATTTCTTGGCAAGTGATCTTCTTCAAAGGATGTCAATGGATGACATGCGCAGAAACAGTCTCACCTCTAACAGACTTTGAAAGTATTACCTTCGAGGTAAATCATTTTGTGGTGCTTTTGACACACATTGGAATATTCTAGATCTGTTTACGTTTACGAGCTGATTTATGTCACRCCAACTTGGAGTCATAAACTTGAAAACACTAGCCTAGTGTTTTCAAGTTTATTCACGCATGCGTGCCATTGACAGTGTCCCTTTAAGACTTTTAACTTACATTCGTTTGAAAAGAGCCGTGAGCACCTAAAAGATATCTGGAATATTTGTATTTGTGGAGTATTTGTGACTTCAATTCTTTAGTGAAAATAAGAAAAAAAATCAAAACATTCTTTAAGCAAGATGACAATTTAAAGGAAGACTGATCTTATTACGGAAACAGGTGAAGTTTATTGGAGTTAACATAGCTTTTATGAGATTGTTTACATTGCTACAAACATTCCATACACATTAAAGTGCTCATGGTTTCTTCTCAAATGACTGTAAAGTCTCAGTCTGCTAGCAAGCACGTACAATGCTGTTAACAACAAGAAACCATTTTTACCTGGAAATTACTGTCTTTGAAACCTGGTTTCTTGCCTAAAACTCTTATCAACACTTGGCACTCCATAGTCTTAGCATCCATGTCCTCTACAATCTGGAATCACAATTTTGCTAACCCATATCACTAACAATAAACATCCATTTTGTTTTACCTGTCCTGTTTATGTCTGACCTACATGTACATGATGTAATATGTAATATGATATAATATGTCAAATAGCCAACTTTAGATATTTTGGTTCAGTGACATGCAAAATAGAATTGCAGACAAGGCTACAGGAAAATAAAGGAATAAATCAAGATTATACATAACATTGTTTTCCAAGAACTGCGTGTGTGTTCTTTTGTGCATAGTCATTGAACCAAAATATCTAAAGTTGACTATTGAATTGACACTACAGCAATATGTAGATCAGAGCTGAGTTAACCAGACAGATTTGCTATAAGGTCCCAGGTTAACTTCCACTTTAAGCATGTACTGTTGGTAGTACTAACCTGTGTAAGTTTCTCCATACCAGCAAACCTCTCCTTCCAGTTGGCATCATTTAGCTGGCTTAGGACATCTGCTGGTAGGATTTCAGTAGCTTTCTCATCTACTTGTTCATCCTACATGTAAAACATATATTAAACATAAATTCAAATTGTACAATAACATTACATTATTACAGAGGTTCACTTATAGTACATGTATGAACTATCTAATATTAAGACTTTCCTCCAAAATGCAAGCTGCAGGCTATGAGCATAATAATGTTCCTATACCTGGAACAAAATGACCGCTGAATATCAAGTATCTGCTTCACTCTGAAGCTGTGTAAAATTGTTCAGTAGTACAATTAAAGTTCCAACGAAAATTTATATTTCTTGAAACTTTACATTTTTATCACTGATGATGTAACCAATTCAAATTTCAAAATGTCATTTTAGCATCATATGATAAAGATTAAATGTCTAGGTATTTAAGTCTGCATCTCAAGAGTCAGTTTGTGTCAGGATTAAGATAAAGTTACATGTACGCCTAATGGTTTTAAGCCATTTTGGTCTAGATTATACTTTCCCAAATATTTACCGTCATTTCAGGCTCTTTAGCTTCAGCCAATGCAGTGGATACTTCTTTTTTGCCACCACCGCCACCAGCTTTCTTCTTGGACTAAACACATTGAATAATACATAAAATATCACTCAGTAATTACAGGGGAAATCATTGCATCACCAATTATTTCGTTTTGAAGTTTGTTTGGATTTTATTCTTTCCTTTGATCTGAGGGTTGGAGATTTTTTTATAAACTCTTCAGTCATTGGCTGATTTGTATAAAATTCCACCCACAAGTCGCAGAAAAACCTAAATCCCAATAATTTCCCTTCAACATCGATGCAACCTAGTTTCTGCTCTAATCATGATTAAAGAATCATAACCAACCGCCGTACCTTGCGCGCTCGTATTATTGTTTACGTATACGTTTAAATGAGTCAAGGATACAATAAATTATAGATTGATAGTAGCTGTGAGGTACTTAGTTAAATGTATTTCTGTCCAAACTGAAAGGACGGAAGACGATTCGCGCTTACTTCTATTCACGCTCAATCCTACCAATCCGCCATTTTCGTGTCCACCTAAAATGACGCTTCGGCTCACAAGGTACGGCAGTTGGTTATGATTCTTTATTTAATCTACTAAATGAAGGACTAGCAGTGATACTATTACACATATCACTTCATAGCACTGAACAAACTCACCTTTGGAGGTCCTCCTTGTTTGGCTCCACTAGATTTAGCCCCTCCTGATTTTCCAGATGCTTTAGGTCCACTTGGTTTCTTATCTGCTTGTTTGCTGGGGGGTGCAGCTGCAGCTGGTCTTGCTACTGGTTTACTTGTTGTTGAGCCTGCTCCACCTTTAGCAGCTGGAACACCTTTTATCTCYGCTTTTTCACAACACTCTTTGACCTTTAAAACAAATATCAAAAATAAAATAAAAAATGTCATGGTCCATCAGCATTCAATGTGGTCATGACGAGCTGACTGCAAATATGCATTCGCAATCCGTTTACATGTACTTCTGAAAGGTTTAAGATCAAATCTACAATCTATTCTCCTCTTGCAGCTGTTACAAGATTCATTCACAGATCACAGAGAGAAACCTGGGAACAAGCCTCACAACGGCTGCTCAATGAGAATAGATCCAATCTTACAATAATCCATTTGTATAGCATAAAAGGATAATAATTTTTTGT